CTTTAAATGTCTCTCCCTTTTCCCAACCGTCCTGCGGTGTTGGGTCCTCGTTTTGAAGAGACGGTGCCCCGCGTTCCTCCTTCCTTCCTTCCTTCCCTCCTCCCCCTCCTCCTCCTCCTCCTTCTCCTCCTCCTCCTCCTCCTCCTCCTCCTCTTCTTCCTCCCTCCTCCCTGCGTTTCACCCACCCAGTACAGCGTTTCGTGGCCCCACAGGGAGCTCCACCGAAGGCCCCAGTGGCAAGGTTCGCATGGCGGCCTCGCGCCATTTTGGCGCACCCCTCACACGGTTCGTGGCCCCATAGGGAGCTCCACCGAAGGCCCCAGTGGCAAGGTTCGCATGGTGGCTCCGCTTCATCTTGGCGCACCCCTCACACGGTTCGTGGCCCCATAGAGGGCCCCACGGAAGGCCCCAGAGGCAGGGTTCGCATGGCGGCCCCGCGCCTTTTGACGCACCCCTCACACGGTTCGTGGCCCCATAGGGAGCTGCACCGAAGGCCCCAGTGGCAGGGTTCGCATGGACCCCGCGCCATTTTGGCGCACCCCTCACACGGTTCGTGGCCCCATAGGGAGCTCCACCGAAGGCCCCAGTGGCAAGGTTCGCATGACGGCCCCGCGTTTTGGCGCACCCCTCACATTGTTCGTGGCCCCATAGGGAGCTCCACCGAAGGCCCCAGTGGCAGGGTTCGCATGGCGGCCCCGCGCCATTTTGGCGCACCCGTCACACTGTTCGTGGCCCCATAGGGAGTCATCGAAGGCCTCAGTGGCAGGGTTCGCATGGCGGCCCCGCCCCATTTTGGCGCGCCCCTCACACGGTTCGTGGCCCCATGAGGAGCTCCACCGAAGGCCCCAGTGGCAGGGTTCGCATGGTGGCCCCGCTTCATCTTGGCGAACCCCTCACACGGTTCGTGGCCCCATAGAGGGCTCCACGGAAGGCCCCAGTGGAAGGGTTCGCATGGCGGCCCCGCGCCATTTTGGCGCACCCCTCACACGGTTCGTGGCCCCATAGGGAGCTCCACCGAGGGCCCCAGTGGCAGGGTTCGCATGGCGGCCCCGCCCCATTTTGGCGCGCCTCTCACACGGTTCGTGGCCCCATAAGGAGCTCCACCGAAGGCCCCAGTGGCAGGGTTCGCATGGCGGCCCCGCCCCATTTTGGCGCACCCCCTCACACGGTTCGTGGCCCCATAGGAAAGTCCCCTTGCTTCGTCCCACCTGCCTTGCGGTTCTCACACTTGCGTATGGTTGGGTCTTTCGCCAGGATATTTTTTTTCCTCTCTCTCTCTCTCTCTCATTTTCTCGTTTCCTCTACCTCCACCTCGCCCTCCCACCCTCTCTTACTGTCATCACACCTGACGCTCGAACATTCACCCTCCCCCGACCCCCCGAACATTCTGTTGTCGTCGAAGAATCTGCGTCAATGTGGGGGAATTGCGTTCCCCAATCTGGACCAAAAGATACAACTCTCCATAACACCAGTTCTGAGCTGCCCCGATACGCAATACGCAACCCGTAGCGTGTTGACACGGAGCTTAAGACGTAGACTGAACACGTAGGTCTGGCGCGATACGTTCGCCGACACGTGGACCAACACGTGCCGAGCCAACACGCAGCGTGTTGACACTGACGTTTTGAACACGGAACGTGCTGCGTCTCGAGACAGGCGTAACATGGCAGCTACGCGCTGGTTGTGTCCGTCGGGTGGCTGGGGATGAGAAAAGGGAGCGCATCAAAATCGTCTACTCTTGAGGAAATAAAGCAAAACTAAAACTGGCACAGCACCCAACCAGATGCAGCTGTGCGTACCGCTTCAAAGGAGCTCCCTGTGGGGCCGCGAAACGTGTAAGGGGTGCGGTGAAATGCGGCGGGGCCGCCATGCGAACTTTGCCACTGGGGCCTTAGGTGGAACTCCCTGTGGGGCCACGAAGCTGGTAAGGGTTGCGCCGACATGGGGCGTAGGCGCCATGCGAACTTTGCCACACTGGGGCCTTCGGTGGAGCTTCCTGTGGGGCCACACAACATGTGAGGGGTGTGCCGAAATGGAGCGGGACCGCCATGCGAACTTTGTCACTCGGGCCTTAGGTGGAGCTTCCTGCGGGGCCACGAAACGCCTCAGGGCTGCGACGACAAGGGGCGGGGCCGCCACGCGAACTTTGTCACAGGGCCTTAGGTGGGGCTCCCTATGGGACCACGAAGCGTGTGAGGGGTGCGCCGAAAAATGGAGGCGCCGCCATGCGAATTTTGCCGCCGGAGCCTTCTGTGGAGCTCCCTGTGGGGCCACGAAACGTGTGAGGGGTACGTTGAAATGCGGCGGGGCCACCATGCGAACTTTGCCACACTGGGGCCTTCGGTGGAGCTCCCTGTGGGGCCACGGAGCGCGTGAGGGGTGCGCCGAAAAAGAGACATGCTGCGGAGGGCGAAGGCAGTGGGGCCGAAATGGGGCTGGGCCGTTTTTCGAACTTTGTCAGTGGGGCCTTCGATTGAGCTCCCTGTGGGGCCACGAAACGTGTGAGGGTGCGCCGAAATGGGGCGGGGCCGCCATGTGAACTTTGCCACTAGGGCCTTCGGTTGAGCTCCCTGCGGGGTCACGAAACGCCTCAGGAGTGTGACGAAACGGGGCGGGGCCGCCATGCGAACTTTGCCGCTGGAGCCTTCTGTGGAGCTCCCTGTGGGACCACGAACGTGTGAGGGGTGCGCCGAAATGGGGCTGGGCCGCCTTGCGATCTTTGTCACTGGGGCCTTAGGTGGAGCTTCCTGTGGGGCCACAAAACGTGTGAGGGGTGCGCCGAAATGCAAGTAAAGCTCACCATGGGACCACGAAACGTGTGAGGGGTGCGCCGAGCGCCGCCATGCGAACTTTGCCGCTGGAGCCTTCGGTGGAGCTTCCTGTGGGACCACGAGGCGTTGAAGGGTGCGCAGAAACGGGGCGGGGCTGCAATGCGATCTTTGCCACTGGGGTCTTCGGTGGAACTCCCTGTGGGGCCACGAAGCTGGTAAGGGTTGCGCCGAAATGGGGCGTAGGCGCCATGCGAACTTTGCCACACTGGGGCCTTCGGTGGAGCTTCCTGCGGGGCCACAGAACATGTGAGGGGTGTGCCGAAATGGGGCGTGGCCGCCATGCGAGCTTTGCCACTCGGGCCTTCGGTGGAGCTCCCTGTGGGGCCACGAAACGCCTCAGGGGTGTGCCGAAATGGGGTGGGGCCGCCATGCGAGCTTTGCCACTGAGGCCCTCGGTGGAGCTCCCTGTGGGGCCACGAAACGTGTGGGGGGTGCGTCGAACAAGGGACATGCTGGGATGGCGTAAGCAAGGGACGGGAGGATGAGTAGGAAGAGGAGGAAGAAGAAGGAGGAAGGAATGAGTGACGCGGGGCGCTGTCTCTTAATAACGAGGACCCAACACCGCAGGATGGTTGAGAACTCTTCGGGTGACCCCCACCAAGGAACTGATGCGAATGGTTTCGAAGTCTGTCGCGGGCGACGTTGCCGTGTGATATGTCACGCGGCTGGCATACTTACATGGCCGTGACACGCAGCACATATTTCGTATGTTTGGCATGGGCGTGTGTGGTCTCATGAGCTACTCGTGTACACTAGGTGCACGCGAAAAAAAGACAGGCACTTTTGTGAGACATGAGTGTGTATGACATGTCGGTGCGTTCATCTTGCGAGTGCACATGGTGCTGGTGCATGGTGCTGATGTATGGTATTTCCATAACGATGCAGTTGCTGCAACTTTCTGGTGTTTGTTCTGTTAACGCATGTCACTGAAGCGTAAGTAGTGTTGGCTTGAATGTCCGATGTGGGTTCTCATTGTCAGCTCCCTGCGGTGTATGTTTTAGTGCGTGCGTGTGTTGTTGACGTGGTTGTACGTGTGTCCCAGATGTGTACTGTGACGTATGATATGGATGTATGGTGTTGCTGTATGCTACTGTTGTCTGCTCTTGTTGTGAAGTGTGCTTTGTTGCTGTTGCTGGTGCATGTGCATAAACGTGCGATGTTGATGTTGTGTTGTTGATGCGTGCTGCTGACGTGTACTAGTGATGTCTGGTATTCACGTCTGCCCTCCGGGGTAATATTACATGTTCTTGGTGTGCTCACGCTGTCCGTTATGGGTGTATGGTCTTGGTCTACCACCGTGGTGAATGTTGCTGTCGTGTTTTTGATGCGTATTGGTTGTGCCTGTTCCTGGCGATGTTGCTGAAATCATGTTGGCAGATCTTTTGATGCCAATGAGCTTGTGTTGCTGCATGTGTTTGGTGTGCGCTATTGATGCGTGTCATTGGTGCACGTTCTGATGCCATAACGATGGTTGCTCATATTGACGTGCGTCCTACACGCATGTTGCCGAAGTATGTCTGATCGTACGTTCCTAATGTGGGGTATTGGTGTGGTGCTGCTGCCTGCTAGGTGTATGCTGCTAGGTGTATGCTGTTGGTGACCGTGCTTGGTGTATCATGCCGGTGTCTGTTAACGACGTGTGGTCTTGGAACCTGTCCTTGATGTGTGATCTTGATGTTTGTTGTTGATGTACGTGCTTGGTATACGGTATTCGTGCCCGCCCCAACTCATGCTCTTACTCCATGACCTTGGTGACGGCGTGACGACGTGGCGCCTGGACGGCATGACGCCATGACTCCTCCTTGGTGGGGCTCGCGAGGTGGGACCTCGAGGCGGGATCCCCAAGGACCGCTGGGACTGGTTGGACCTGGCGGCCGAGGCATGCTGGGTGAGTGAGGCGGGTCACGAGGCGGGATCCCCAGGGACAGCCAAATCTATGTGGGCCTGGTGGTCGCGGTATGCTGGGTGGGCGGGGCGGGGCGGGTAGCTCATTTCCCAAACGCAGCGAACCAAATCTGCCGGGCGGACAAAAACACATCATGCAACCTGTCATGCGAGACGAGGACTGGCAGCATTGCGTTCCATCGTTGTCTGCCTACGGGTTCTCTCTGGCTGGCCCCAAACTTTTTGGAAAGCGCTGCATCCCGCGCCTTGCAGTCGCAAGGCGAGTCAGAACACCGCATCAGATACGAGTTCAACAACCTCCTGGCTTGATCTGGTACTGCATAAGGTAGCGCTCACTCTGTAGACCGGCACCTCAGAGAGAGAGGGGATGGCGACGAGTAGAAGGCACTGGCCCGCTCCCCGCTCCCTCATACTGTTTACTCTGTGAACCTTTCCTCGCCGTTTCTCCATGCTCTTCAGCTGTGACCGCGTCCGTGAGGAGCAACTACGCCGTGGTGCCTTGCATTCTTCGCATCGCACTTGCCTGGCGACAGGACTCCACGAATACAGACATCTGGGAGGTGACGGCAGGCACTTTCCAGTCACATCGCCAACTGCCACGTCCATGGCAGGACCCTCGAGATCGATCCTATCGTTGCGCATTCCGTCGTACAATGGGCGCGCAAAGTGACTGTGGACAGCGCGGGTTTGTTTGATTTGTTGTCGTTCGGGGTTGCATGAGGAACTTTCCGCCCTATCTTGTCAGCACCGCAGCCACAATCATATGGCGACACACGAGCAGAACAGACGAGCTACACGCCTGAATACATATCCAGTCTGATCACGTTACTTCTCTTCCCGCCTGAAAGCGCATCCCACCACCATGCCTTAGGCACTGAATGGATTGCCCTCAGGTCCCTTCGGCTCCTCGGGATAAAATATTGCAAATACTCTTGAAGGGGCCGCGAGCCTGTATTAACGGGCGCTCTTCGTTGCTCCCTGTGCGGCTCGCATGACTTGATCAAAAGCCTCGGAACCGTGGTCGGGATTCCGTGTCTTCAGATTGGACCAACATGGTCCCTGGGCTCATCCTGAAGCCCTCTGGGGGCCTCATGGGCAATCTTGGAGGACCTGGGAGCAGGCCCAAGAAAACAACATCGTTTGAATCCAATGCATGGTTTTAAGAGTGTCGCCTTCTCGGTCTCACAAGCATCCAAGACACCGCAATAAAACCCGCATATCACCCCGAGACGGCTTCCAAGCCCCCGCGAGGGCCGAAGAGGCTCCCAATACGGTCCAAGAAAGAGAAGCCGAAGTGACATCTGGAGCCCTGAACCCAAAGATGGCCTCCGAGCCAACCAGGAAACCTTCAAGACGCCCCAAGATGCAACACAAGACACCAAGAGGACGCCCAGAGGAACCCCTAAGAGGCCCCAAACCAGCCTACAGAGGCCCCCTGGAAGCCTCCAGAAAGACCAGAAGAAGCATCTAAGAGGTCTCTGGCCCACAACCCAGCTACGGTGTCGGGTTGGGCCGAAAGCCGCAAGATCCGCCGCCCGCTGCACGACGTGCTACATGTTAGGTAGGCCACAAGAATGCCCCAAGAGGCTCCCAAGAGGCCTCCTTCTCCATTTTCCTCCCTCTCCTCCTCTTCTTCTTTCTCCCCCACGTGTTCCCCGAAGGTTTCCACAACGGCTGGGGAAGCACGTAGTCCGATAGCTTAGCTGAGCTCAGGCCGCAACGTTAGGCCACATAGGCTCTTTAAAGAACAAGGGTCGGCGGTGATTCGCCGTAAGCGTCTTCGATACATAATGCCGCCGGCCATCATGTTGCGCATATTGTGGTCCTCGGTGTGATGGGATATTTACACGCCCAGTGCGCGTACATGGCTTCGTCAACCCGTCTGCATCATCCGAGTGCTAACATCATCCGTACACACTTACGTCTTAAACGCAGCAGGTTGCACGTCGGCGGAACGAAATCAGACTCGCACCTTAGAGGTTACCCAGACCAAATGAAGCGCCTTACACTCGTAAAACAATCGTATGCGTGGGAGGCCACCCCCGGTAACGATCACAGATATCATTACGCTGCCAATACCTTTCGTGCAGCACCCATCAAAATCAATATAAACAAAACACACATACGTTTCGAGCAACTCACCTCTGGAACAAGCATGGCGCAAGCAGACTTCAATCAAGCCACCTCTGGAACCAAGTCGATGTCCGTGGAGACTTCGACGCTGTCGCCTACCTGGAACACCCCTGCCCGACCGAGAGCTAGCTGAAGCGGCACTACTTCCATCGCAAGGTTGGTTGCCTCTCCCAATGAAATTACACGCGTGTGTCCCCCGAGCAGGGCAGGACGTCCTGGCTCTCATGAACGCCAGGGGTTGACATATGACACCAGAGAGATCGAAGGGTCAGCCGTCCAATGCAAGCGAGATCAACGTGCAAGAAGATCGCTGCCGGTGGAAGGGGATGGGCTCTGGTCGGCCACAGGGGCCAACGCTGCCCACCTACAGCTCACCAAACCCAAAGCTGCAGCCATGCCCGTTTCCAGTGGCGACACATCTCGACTGCCTGAAACCGTGCAGAATCACGACTATAACAGTAACGCCGTTCATCCACGCTCCGCATCGGTCAAGAATCATCAGATTCGAGACGGCATTCGAATACTCAACGTCTCGCCGTTTGCGTATTAGGGTCATAGGGTCATAGGGCACTGCTGCGCGCGCGCGAGATGAGCACCCCTCCCCCTCCTCCGCCTCGCCCCCGCCCTCCGTCCCAAGCGGCCGAAGAAGAGCGAAGTAGGAGGACGACGACGGCAGCAACGAACAGGATAGAGGAGGCGGGGGACGAGGAGGGGAAGGATGAGGAAAGCTGGGGGTGGGGCGAGGCGAAGCGAAGCGAGCGAGGCGAGGCGAGCGCGCGATGTCGGTCCGGCGGGACTGGCCCTTCGAGGGCAGCGCGGGGGGGCCTGGGTCCTCAGGAGACGCGCCGTGAGCAGGAGTCGGAGTCCGAGCCGTGGGGCCTGAAACCGGAGACGGGGAATCGAGCTTGCTTGCTTTGCTGGGGGTGGGGAGGGGAATCGTCGGGAGCGGCCAAGAGGGGGGTGTCCAAGAGGGGGGGTGCAAATCATGACAGGCGGCATGTGCGCGGCCCAGCGGGGGGGCCAGGGACGCAATGGAAGAAGAAGAGGCGCCATGAAATCAGGGGAAATATCATGGCCCCCGCCATGATATCCCCCCCCCTAAGTCATCACCCCCCTCTCTGCCGCTCCCGAACTCGGATTCGGGCCAGCACCGAGGCGCGGGCGCGGACGAGGGCGCGCGTGCCCCCTTTGCCCCCTGCCCCGCCTCCACCGGCCGGGGCGACGCGCACGCCAAGAACACGTTGGCCCAGTGGCTGCCTCCCGCAACGACTGGCGGGGCGGCTGCAAGGGCACTCCTCCTCCTCCTCCTTCTTCTCCTCCTCCTTCTTCTTCTTCTCCTTCTTCTCCTTCTTCTCCTTCTTCTCCTTCTCCTCCTCCTTCTTCTCCTCCTTCTTCTCCTTCTTCTCCTTCTTCTCCTTCTCCTTCTCCTCCTCCTTCTCCTTCTCCTTCTCCTTCTCCTTCTCCTCCTCCTCCTCCTCACCTTTATTGTCCGACTCTGTCGCAAAATCCGAAGCCTTTCGAGGGCCGGCTGACCACACCTATCCCTGTGTACTTCCCATGATTCTGCCACTGATGCCATCAGTCGACTGACGGAAAACGTCCATTCCTCCAATGCTCAACCCGTTGCGTGGCAGCACCCCCGCCCTTTCCCGGCCCAGCCCTCCAGGCTGCGCGGAGCTGATCTGGGCCGCGCCGCCCCCGCAGTCCACGGTGATTCGCCAGGGGGGGAGCCCGGCGGAAGGCTGGCACCACTCAGACTGGACTTGGGACTTCCGTGAAGCCTCCGCCTCCTCCTCCTCCTCCTCCTCCTCGTCTTCCTTCCTCCTCCTCGTCCTCCTCCTTTCATCCTCCTCCTCCTCCTTTCCTCCTCCTCCTCCTCCTCTTTCTCCTCCTCCTCCTCCTGCTTCCCCCCCCCCTCTCTTTCTCCTCCTCCTCCTCCTCCTCTCCTCCTCCTCGTCCTCCTCTTCCTCCTCCTCCTCGCCGTCGTCGTCCTCCTCCTCCTCCTCCTTCTCCTCCTCCTCCTCCTCCTCCTCCTGCTGCTTCCCCCCCCCGCCCTCCGGGCAAAGCCGCCGCCCGCCCGCCAGGACGGGGCGTGCGCGAGCCCGCACGACGCGCCTGGCTCACCAGAGGGGGGGCCTCCCGCCGAGCCACGAGCGGGGCGCTCGCTTGGTACACCGACGACGACGACGAGGAGGAGGAGGAGGAGGAGAAGGAGGAGGAGGAGGAGGAGGAGGGGGAGGAGGAGGGGGAGGAGGAGGAGGAGGAGGAGGAGGAGGACGACGAGGAGGAGGACGAGGAGGAGGAGGAGGAGGAGGACGAGGAGGAGAAGGAGGAGGGGGAGGAGGAGGACGAGGAGGACGAGGAGGAGAAGGACGACGTCAATGACGACGACGACGACGGCGTCGGCGACGACGACGACGCCGACGCCGACGAGGGGAGCACCTCGTCTCGGTGCACCGCTTAACCGAGCCGCATCCCCGTGGGCGTGGCCTGGGCCCCACTGGCCGTCGTGCACCCCTGCATGGGGATATAGGCTGTTCCTTTCGGGCTTCCAGGGGCGACGGTGGGGGTCTGTATGGGGATGGGGACAGGGATCGGGGTCGGTCAAAAGATACCGACGCTCGGTACCCTGGGGGCGCACCTCGTATCAAGCCAAAGCCTAGCGAACGCGTAGCCTTGCTTGCGACAGTGCTGCTGCCTTGCAAGGTTGAGGCGCCTGCTCGGAGATTCTGAGTCTGAAGGAGGTATTCCGAGTGGTCTGATATTCCAGAAGGGACGCGAAGCGTGCGCCAGCCGAGGCGACCAATCAAGCGCATCGCGCACGCAGAAAGAGCAAAGCTAGTTTGATGGCGCCCTGACCAAACCCGCCGAGAGCCAGAGATGCCTGAACATCCACGACGGAGACCCTGAAAAGTAGTGCCGAATCTCCTCGGAACATCACAGCCTAAGAACAAGGACGGGACAAGGATGCAGGAGGAGAAGGAGGGGGAGAAGAGGGAGAAGGAAGAGGAAGAGGAAGACGAAAGGGAGGAAGAGGGACGAGAAGGAAGAGGAAGAGGAAAGGGAGAAGGAAGAGGACGAGGACGAGAAGGAGGGGGAGGAGAGGGAGGAGGACGAGGGAGAGGGAGAGGAAAGGGAGGAAGAGAAGGCAGAAGACGGCCAACACGCAGAAGGGGCCCACGAGCAAAGCCCAGCAGGCCCGATCGGGGGGGGGCAGCATGGCAGGGCGCCGACGCTCTCATCTTGGCCTGGCCAAGGCCTCCTTTTTAACGAAGGCCGATCGTCCCTTTCACAAACTGACCGATCCTCGTTCAAACTTGAACGATCGGCCCTTTCACAAGGGCCGCATCGTTCAGGGATGGGCCGATTCTGGGCCACAGACGGCGTTCAACATGAAGCGCCCGCGCTGGGGTCGCCGCCGGTCGACACGACGCGAACCTGCCGCATCATGTCTCGCTGCTGCAGACCCCCCTCGTACTTTGTTTGGATGCCATGGGCCACGTTTTCTTGTGAAGCGCTGCGGCAAGGGCGAGTTGTCACGGGAGGGCACCGCGTGTGCTGCCGGTCATCTCCTGCCCGCCCTTCCCCGACGCCACCTCTAGGAACATATATCGAAGACGGCTGCGCGCAGCGCCCCCCCCTTCTCGGTGTATCCGCTCCTGAAGGGCGACCTTGCGCAATTCCATGTGAACACTACCCCTGCATGCCAGATCTCTAACATCGGCAGCGAGCGAGGGGGGAGAAGGCCTTCTCAGAAGGCTCGGAAGTCCACTGGCCCTTTGAGAGGTTTCAAAGTTTTCCCCGAAGATACAAACAAACTCCCAGAAGGCGCGAGGGCTTCTGAGAAGTCCCGCCGCCTCCTGAGAAGGCCTCCTCCTTCTCACTTCCCCCCCTCGCTTGCTGCCGATGAAAAAAGCACACAGCTGGGGCTCAGACTTGGAAACACGTCTGCAGCCCAGCGAACCCCAGCGGGGGCGTCCCATGCCCCAGCCCGGGGCCGGACCCGCAGGGGGCAGGGCTCGCGAGCGGCATCAGAGGCCTCCGACGCTGCTCGCACGCCGCAGAAAACTCCGTGCCCCCACCGAGGCCCCCCCCCGGCATGTGGAAGGCGAACCCGGCCAGCAGACCAGGGCGCTGGACGCGGAAGGCCAGGGAGCGCGACTGCGTGCTGAGCCTGGCCCCGCTGCCCGGGGCTGCCCCCTGCAGGCCGCGCGCCCGAGGCGCGGCAGGCACGCGCCGACCCGCCAAAACAGCCTGCACCCGTCTCGCGACTCTGTGCACTGTGCGCTCCCTCCGTCTCTCTCTCTCTCTCACTCCCTCTCCCTCTCCCTCTCCCTCTCTCCCCCCCTCTCTCTCTCTCTCTCCCTCTCTCCCTCTCGCAACATCTGTGCTTACATTCCTCAGCCGCTTATCATCCCCGCCACATGTCACCTACCGTCCGTCCTCCGTCCTCTGCCCACTCGCTAGTCTGTCCAACGATTCACGTGTCCTTATGTCGGTGTTGCCTGCATCTCTCCATGTCCGTGCTTGTCTGCTTCAATGTGCCTTTGCACGCCGATGTCTGCCTCTATATGCGCCCATCTACGTTTCCCTTATAGTGCTTGCAATGAGGAGGTCTCACTTAGCTTCGAAGCAATTGGATGGGCTTCCTGTTTTCACTAGGTCAGAGCCCGCCCAAGGTTTTCACCCCGTCGCCGCCTGTTTCGCAACCTTCCGCCTCAACCCGTCTCTTTACCCCTGATCCTTCAACCCGCATCATCGGCATCCTCCTGTATCCGCCTCTTTCCTCATCAACCCCCCTTTGTCAATTACTATCCTCGATCCTCATCCACCCTGGTTGCCCATGATCCACGCCTTTTCAACGCTTTACCCTCCGCACTCCTCATCCTCAACCCTCCCCCATCGACCATCCTCCTCAATTCCTACCAAACCCTCCTCTCAAACTCTCCTCCTCAGCTCTGCTTCACACCATCTGCGTCCTCCTCCTGTCTCGTCCTGCCTCTCCTCATCTCTATTCCATCCGCCCAGACCATCCTCGTCGCTCTTACCGAATTCTACACCACAGCACTCCTCAAATACCTCCCCATACCTCCTCTTCCTCTCGCCTCCTCATTCTCCTTCAGGATGAAGACGGTTGAAAAGGAGGTTTTTTTGGGAAGGTTTGTTGGTACGAATGTTCGTCTGGAGGGTTGACCATAAGGGTTGATGAGAATGCGGTGCGACGATGAGGATTGATCATGTGGTTCATCAGGATAATTGAGGAGGGGGGCTGAAGACGTTGAAAGAGGGGTGCACTAGGAGGAAAGGTGAGGAGGGACTCCAGGTGGTTGGAAACCTTCGTCCTCAACTCTGTTCTTCCTCCTCCAACAATTCTCCGCGAGCCCCACTCTCCCCTCTCCAACACCCACATCATACCCCTTTTCCACGTGCTCCCCAGTAGTCCAGATCTTCGACATTCCTCCCCAACGTTCCGCATCAACCCTCCTCTTCAAACCTTCTCTTCAAACCCTACTCATTGATGTCCCCCTCTGTCATCCACTTCAACCCCGCAATCATTACCCTCGGTCCTCCTCGTCGACATCATCATGGACCCTCCTCTGTCTTCCTAGCCGGCCCCCATTGTCAGCAAGAAAACCCTTGGTCCAGATCCACCCTCATCATCAGTCAGAACCACGCTCTCAACGCACAACCTCCCACAACCCTGCTCGTCAACCCTCCTCAACCTTCCTGCCCAAACCGTGGAGAGTGCCTCAACGGCTGCGACATGTATGGAGTCCTGCCACGGCTGGGACACTAATACTCCGACTAGAGAACTATGACTCTTAACATAAGCTACCATACTTGAAAACATAATCACAATTTACCCTGCGACGTACCCAACCCATCTGCAACGAGTGGCAAGAACAACGGACCAACTTGTCGCGGATGATGGCATGACAATGCGCGCGGATGTTGTGAGAGCTACACGGGACGCTCGCGCGTTGCACGAGTCATGGGAGAGATCCGCGTGACGCAGTACGTCGGAACTTGGCATGTCAGGGGCAACGCGACCATTAATAGCTGACGTGGCGACTGTTGCGCGGTCCGCAGCCTCCGGGGGACGGCAGGGTCCCGCTTGGGCCTTCCGTGGGACAACACTCCGCTGGACCTTCCAGGAGCCCACGAGCGTGGCAGCAGTTCTGGAGTCTGCAGCCCCCAGGGGGCGGCGAGGCCCCGCCGAGGCCTGGCTTGGGCCCGCGTGGGGCACCGCCCCGCTGGACCCGCAGGAGGCCCACGAAAGCGGCGACGGCCTCGAGGATCGCAGCCCTCCGGGGAGAGCGAGGTGCAGCCTGGGTCTGCGTGGGGCACCCCCTCGTGGCCTCCTTCCCCGGGCTCTGTCTGAAGAGGAGGGCGCTTCTCCGAGGAATCCGGATGTCTGCGAGCCAAGGAGATCCGACTCTCCGAGTGTCCGAGTAGCCGTCTGCTTGTCTGTGCGTCCTCTCGTCTGCACCCGTCTGTCCTCCTGTCTGTCTGTCTGCCTATCTGCCCCTCCCCTCCGTCTCTCTCTCTCTCTCTGCGTCTATCTGCATAAGTGTAATAAACAATACGTGTAGTAAACAAACAAGTGTGATGACAAACAAGTGTGCAACAACAACCAAGTTTATTATCACATTTTTGTATCACACTTGTTTTTCTATCACACTTGTTTGTTGTCACACTTGTTTTGTTATCACATTCGTTTTTTTATCACACCTGTTCGCGTCTGTCTCTGTCCGTGCCCACCACACTGTCTGTTTTTGTATGCAGAGTGTCTGTCTGCCTGTGAGGATGCCCCTCTCTCTTTCGCTCCCTCTCGCTCTCTCTCTCTCTCTCTCCCTCCCTCCCTCCCTCTCTCTCTCTCTCTCCTCTTTGTAGTTATCCTTGCTACCTGTTTGAATCCCTCCCATAGCGCTTCATCCCACTCTACCGCCCTCGCCAATCCTAACCATTGTTGCCAAACCCTCGCTACGCAATCCACCTCTGACCGCCCCGACTCGTCCAGCAACTCTCTCGAACAACTGCTCCCTGGAACGGCCCACGGCAGAGCTCCAGAGTTTCCTGAAGAAGCCGCGGCGACGCCTTGCTGACTTTTCGGCTCGCGGCGGCGCAGCTGCGGCGCTCCGCGCAGGCCTGGCCGAAGCAGAACTCCTCGAATGGCTGGGCTGGGGCCAGCGCGCAGCTGGTCACGGGGAAGCCCGGCAGCCGCAGCGTCTGGGCCCCTGACGAGGGCGGCGTGACCAGCAGCGCCCCGGCTCGTCGCCGGTGCTCCTTCGCAGGCCGCTTCGGGAGGGTCGGCTTCTGATGCAGTCGGGGCCCGTGCACATGGGGCAGCTCGGCTGGAACCCCGGGCCTCGAATCCCTCTCTCCTCCTCCTCCTCCTCTTCCTCCTCCTCCTCTTCCTGTTCCTCCCATTCCTCCTGCTCCTGCTTCTGCTCCTGCTCCTCCTTCTCCTCTTCCCCCTTGTCTCCCTTGTCCTCTTCATTATTCTCGCCAGCATCATAATCAACAACATCATCATCGGTCTCGCCTGCCTTTCTTCCCTGAGCAGTGATTCTACTTACGGGTGCTGAGTTCTGTTCTAAAAGACAAGGGTCCATCTTCAGTCTGGCGGCCGTGTGGCCGCCGTCGCTGTCCCGTCGCCGCCTCGTCGCCGCCCGCCGTCTGGGCCGTATCTTCGGTCTGGCGGCTATGTGGCCGCCGTCGCCACCCCGCCGCCGCCTCGTCGCGGCCCGCACCTGGGTCTGCCTGTCGGTCTGGCGGCTGTGCTGCCGCCGTCGCCGCCCCGACATAGATTGAACCACATCGATTGCACCACATGTATTGCACATTACAGATTGCACCGCGTAGATTGCACCACAGGTATTGCACTGCATGGATTCCATCACACTTCTTGTGCCACACATATTGCACATCGTAGATAGCACATCACATGTTGTGCAACATATACTGCACCACCTGTATTGCACCATTTTGCATAACAAATATTGCGCAGCATGGATTGCACAGCAAAGACTCTACAGCATACACTGCCCCACATACAACGCACAACATATCTTATTGAAAAGCGCTTGCAGCATATCTGTTGCACAACATATATTTCACACCATAGATTGCCCACACAAGTTGTACGGCATCGGTATCACAACATATATTGCGCAACATAGACTGCACCACATGTACGGCACAACACATATTGCACCGCGTAGATTGCACCACATAGGTTGCATCACTTAATCACATAAATTACACCACGCAAGTTGCACCACACATGTTGCACATCAAAGACTGCACAGCATCTCTTGCGCAATAGAAGTTGCACCGCATACATTGCTCCACACATACTGCAGAGCATGGGTTGCAACATATAGACTGCACCACAGAACATGGACCACATCGAGTGCCCACACATAACGCAGAACATATACTACTCAGCTATAATGCACCACGCGCGCACGCACATATACATACACACATATGTATATAAAATGCAATTGCACAGCATGTGTTGCACCACGGAGATTGCACTCATACATTGCACAGCATAGACTGCACAACATATATTGCACAATATTAACTGCACCACACGTCCTGCGCATCATACATAGCACAACGAATCTCGCACCACAAATATTGCACGATATAGATAGACTGCACCACCAGGGTTGCACGACATATATTGGACATCGTAGGTGGCAGAACAGTGGACGGCACAACACAAAATCCACCACATCGGTTGCACCATATCAGATCCACCACATAGAACGCACCGCATATATACAACATATATTCGTCTACATCGATTTCACTACACCTACTCCTAGAAGCACACTATTGGGGGCCCGCGCTGGCTAAGATTTGCTGTGCAACCACGGGGTAAGTCTACGACTGCAAACACTCACGCACATGCCGTACACAGCACGTGCTGCTACTAGCCTGGATGGATCTTGGAGCCCACTATTTAGATCTTCTTCCTGCGTTGGAACTACCCTTGCGCATTGAAACCGAGCCTGGAATGCAACACAGACGTTCTGATCGATAGAGGGAGCTTGAACAAAAAAATAGGAATTCAAAAAACAAGGACTTTTAAATTATAGGTTGTCGCGTAGAGATCCCAGCCCCGAAGCGAGACAGAGAAGAACACTAAACGTAAAAAAAAGAACCGGACCCGCGACGCGGCATGAAACAAAACAAGGGACGCCCTGGAACAGCAGGGGGAAGATCTGGGGGAAGATCTGTCGGAAGATCTGGGGAGTGTCCAATGGAAGATTTGGCGCGGTTGCAAAGCGATAAATCTGGAGGAATACTTGGCGGAAGATCTGGGGGAGATCTGAGGGAACATGTCGGATCTAATTTTTGGGAGGGAATCTGGAGGAAGATCTGGAGGGACATCTGAGAGAAGATCTGGTGGAAAATCTGGGCGTGGCGAACATCTGGGGAATGTGCTGAGGCAGATTTGGCTGTGTAGTGCGTCGTACATCTGCAGCAAGATTTGCGGGAAGATCTCGGGAACATCTGGAGAAATACCTGAGGGAGAAGATATGGGGAAACATCTGGGTGAAGATCTGGGTGAAGATCTGGAAGACGATCTGGAGGAAGATCTGGGGGAAGTTCTGAATCAAAATCTGGGTGAATTCAGGTGAATGTATTGGGGAAACATAAAAAAAGCTCTGCGGGACAACATTGGAAAAGATCTGAGGAGAGATCTGAGTGACGATTTGGAGGAAGACCTGGGGGAAGATCTGGCGGAAGATCTGGGGAAATATCCGGGGAGAGATTTGGGGAAAGATCTGGAAGAAAATCTAGGGTAACATCTGGGAAATATCAGATGGAAGATCTGGGCGAAGATCTGGAGGAACATCTGGAGGAAGATCTGGGGGGAGACCAGGGGGGAGATCTGGGGGAAGAGCTGGAGGAAGATCTTAAGGGAGATCTGGGAGATCTGGGGGAAGATTTAGGGACAGATCTTGGGGAAGATCTGGGGAAAATCTGGAGGAAAATCTGGGGGAAGATCTGGGGGGGGGATCTGGGGGAACATCTGGATGAAGATCTGGGGGAAGATCTGGGGGAAAATCTGGGGAAAGATCCTGGGGAAGATCTGGGGAAGATCTTGGGAAAGATCTGGGGGAAAGATTTGGAGGAAGATCTGGAGGAAGATCTGGGGGAGGATCTGGGGGAAAATCTGGGGAAAGATCCTGGGGAAGATCTGGGGAAGATCTTGGGAAAGATCTGGGGGAAAGATTTGGAGGAAGATCTGGGGGAAGATCTGGAGGAAGATCTGGGGGAAAATCTGGGGGAAGCTGGGGAAAGATCTGGGAGAAAATCTGGCGTAATATCTGGAGGAAGATCTGGGGGAAGATCAAGGGGGAGATCTGGGGGAAGATCTGGAGGAAGATCTCAGGATCTGGGGGGAGATCTGGGGAAATATCTGGGAGAAGATCTGGGGGAAGATCTGGAGGAAGATCTGGGGGAAGATCTGGGGGAAGATTTGGGAAAGATCTGGGGAAGATCTGGGCGAAGATCTGGAGGAAGATCTGGAGGAAGATCTGGGGGGGATCTGGGGGAAGATCTGGGGGAAGAGCTGGCGGAAGATCTGAGGGGAGATCTGGGCGGAGATCTGGGGAAGGATCAGGGGAAAGATCCGGGGGACAATTTGGGGAAAGATCTGGAGGAATATCTGGGCGAAGATTTGGGGGAAGATCTGGGAGAAGAGCTCGAGGAAGATCTGAAGGGGGATCTGGGGGAAGATCTGGGGGAAGATCTGGGGAAAGATCTGGGGGAGGATCTGGGGGAAAATCTGGAGGAAGATCTGGGGGAAGATCAAGGGGGAGATCTGGGGGAAGATCTGGGGTAAGATCCAGGGAACGATTTAGGGAAAGATCTGGGGGAAAGATCTGGGCGAAGATCTGGGGGAAGATCTGGGGGAAGATCTGGGGGGGATCTGGGGGAAGATCTGGGGGAAGAGCTGGCGGAAGATCTGAGTGGAGTTCTGGGCGGAGATCTGGGGAAAGATCAGGGGAAAGATCCGGGGGAAAATCTGGGGAAAGATCTGGAGGAATATCTGGGCGAAGATTTGGGGGAAGATCTGGAAGAAGAGCTGGAGGAAGATCTGAAGGGAGATCTGGGGGAAGATCTGGGGGAAGATCTGGGGAAAGATCTGGGGGAGGATCTGGGGGAAGATCTGGAGGTAGATCTGGGGGAAGATCAAAGGGGAGATCTGGGGGAAGATCTGGGGTAAGATCCGGGGAACGATTTAGGGAAAGATCTGGGGGAAAGATCTGGGGGAAGATCTGGGGGAAGATCTGGGGGAAAATCTGGGGGAAGATCTGGTGACAAATCTGGGGAAAAATCTGGGTGAAAATCTAGAGGACAATCCGGAGGAATATCCGGGGGAAGATGACCGTGACCATTTTTTAAACTAGGCTTTCGAGTATCACTCGCGCGATGACGGCAGGGCATGAAACAAGACACATAAATTTAAACATATGATTTTAAATTAATTAGGCCCGCGAGACTGGGCCCGGGCATGCCGTCCTAGTTTTTTGGACTCCCTGTACACATTCCTTTGTCGAAAACAAAACAATTCAACACAGTGATTAACATAAGGCGGTACCCTCTTGACGCGTGCAAAGATGGTCCAGCAAAACGCTCACGAATGAAATCTATTCAAACATGTACGGTTCGGAATCTAAAAGAAGAAACGAATATTGACACTGTCCTTGCACGGCTAGAAACTCCAAACGTCGCACAAGCTAATCTAGAGTATTAGCATGAAGACGTTCCAGCGCCGCTGGAGGCGAAAACCAGTCCGCCCCGCCATGCGAAGACTCCTCCATGCGCCCTCGGTCTGGTGCCCCTTCCTCTCAACAAGAAGTCAACGTCGCGACTGTGTTCTGGCTTTGGATAATGCTGAGTCGCCGAACTCGGTCCAGTCGGGAATCGCCTCTGTGAACGTTGCGGATCGCCCAGCTCTCGGCGGCGAGCCTGCCGCCTTCTCGGGGTGGTGCTGTTCGGCTGCCTCGGAACCGCTCGGAGGCCGAGAATGGCGCCAGGGGCCTCCGGTTGCAGCCCAGGGGGCCCCCAGACGGCCCCAGGGGTCACCCAGGAAGCTCACCCTCTTTGACGCACGAACCGGCGGCGAGCGAGGGGGGGGTCCAGGGGTGACATCTTGATGAGATGCCGGAGCTTTTGGAAGCTCGTTCGGCCGTCTTTGGATGGCATTGGGGAGCCTTGCAGCCTTCTCGGGGCGGTCTTCGGCTGCCCTGGAACCGCTTGGTTGCCGAAGAGGGCGCCGGGGAAGAAGATCAGGAGGGCGATGCTCTGAGCACGCTCGCTTCGAGGGGCAGCGTCGGCCCTGGAAACAGGCATCGGCGGCGAGCGAGGAGGGGAAACGAGGAGGAGGAGGCCTTCTCAAAAGCCTGGGTGGGACTCCTCTCCAGCCTCCCGAGAGGTCTTCTGCGTCTTCGGGTGGGGCCCGCCCCTCTCGCCGTTCCCCCCCCCCGCGCTGGCCGCCGACACGTTGCACCGCGTCGAGAAGAGAGGCACCCGGCACCCGAGAATGACGAGGCGGAGGCACTTCTTGTTTTGGGCCAGCGCGGGCGGGAGCAGGCCGAGGCCCGTGCACGCGCCCGTCGAGAGTCGAGCGGGGCGCGCAGGAAACGCATGGGGGGCACGGCGCGGGACGCGGGAGGAGAGGAGGAAGGGAGGACGGAGGAGGAGGAGGAGGAGGAGGAGGAGGAGGAGGAGGAGGAGGAGGAGGAGGAGGAGGAGGAGGAGGAGGAGGAGGAGGGGGAATACAGTCAACCCGTATAGTAGTGTTGCGCGATAAGGGTGCAAGGGCCCTGGCCGCCCATTCCGAATCTCTTCGAGCGGGGCGCGGCCAACGAAAGCGGCCAAGGATGGGCCGAGAAGGCGAGCATGCGAGGGTACCCTTGGGACGGTTGCCCATCCTGACTGTGCGGGTTGACTGTAGAGGAACACAAAAAGCATAAACATAAACTTGCGGGGGTCCGCGAGGATTTCTTGGATCTGCGCGGGGCGCCCTCCCTGGCGCGCGGAGCGCGCCAGGGGCGGCGCCGGAAGCGCCGCCAAGGGCGTCCACCGCAGATCCGTGAAAAATCCGAGCGGACCTTCGAAATCATACGTTTATGCAATTTTTCTGCTTCGATGAGAGTGCCCGGATCCTCCAAATATGACGCCGGTGGAAACTCCGACGGGGAGATCCAGGTAATGGCCAGCCGTGGAATCCACGGGCTCCGGCTGCAGGTGCACCATGCATGTGAGGTTTCAGTCTTGCTTTCGGGCCCTGGCTTGCCAGTGAATGGGTGGAAGAAGGAGATGGCGAGTGACGAGAAGGAGGAGGGGGAAAATGCGGAAGGGGGAGGATGACGGTGGGGATCGACGAGGACGAAGAGGTCGGTCGGTCGGTCGAGACCCTCGGGTGACTCAGTCTGCTGAGCTCCGCTGGGGGGGCGGGAGTCACAATCGCGACCCTCAGCCCAAGTGGACAACTCGACAGCCCACAGGCCGCTCACGTCGCAAGGGGATGAGGTGGGGGAGGCAAAGGAAAGGGCAGTGCAAGGGGACGACATGGCAGGCGAGGTGATTTTCTCTCTCGTCTCGCCCTGCCGCTGGGCGTGCTTGTGCATCGGCTGCTCTCTTGCAGCCGATGCAGAAACAAGCTTTGCACCTTCGCCTCCACCCGAAGCCTGGGAAGCGTGTCCAGCCCACCGCGTCCAGTCATCAATAATGCGCCTGCAACACGTTCTTTCAGTCTGGCGGAGCTACTGCCCCGATGAACAAGACACGGGTCGCTTGAGCATTCTCGTTAGAGGAGCAAGAAGCGGCATCAACATAAACTTTTGGCGGTCTGCGCAGATTTCTTGGATCTGCGCTGGACCCCCCCTCCCTGGCGCGGATCCCAGAAGTCCGCGCGGAGCGCTAACACTTTATGTTTATGGCGCTTTTTCTTCGTCGATGTCCCGATGAACAAGTCGGGCCTCGCTTGGGCATTCTCGTGCTCCAAGAAGCATTCTGGCTTCTGGCCAAGGCCCCTCTCTCGGGACTTTTTCTTGGACCTCGCCCGATTCCCCCCTTCTCTTCGTCTGCTGCCGGGTGCCAGCGGAAGCATGCCACAAAGCATATGAGACGGACCTCGGGGACGACACGACCAATGAGTTCTGCTCGGTGGCAGCTGCTCGTTTTTCACACGTGGATCCCATGCTCGACCCGTGCCCAGAGCGCCTCCACGCAGAGCAGGGCAGCGCGAGAGAGCCGCGGCGCGGAAGTGGGAGCGGAGCAGGGTGGTCTGAAGAATGGTGGAGGGCGGAAGACGGGATGCCTCGTCTCAACAATTCGCATGCTCCTGGCAACCTGAGCAATGCACCCCGCGGCATGTCAGTGCGTACGCGACACTGTCGCCTCAATTCTGATGTCGCCAGGTTTCCAGCGCTGAATGGAGGACGTCGCGAGACCTCTCCGTGCTTCACTGCCTCGGCTCGACTCCCGCACAAGCGCCCGCTGGGCCTTTGAATGACCATGCCGCGCAGCCTGGTATCGAGGCACCGTTCCGCCCGCTCGCTCCCTCTCGCTCTTGCTCGCTCCCTCTCGCTCTCGCTCTCTATCTCTCTCTCTGCACGCACCCATGCCTGCGGACACACTGCGACTTGCGGCCTCATGCCCAACGGCACACGCATGCAGGCACCTGCGGCCTCGCCAGCCCGAAGGCGACATCTGCTCCCAACGTCGACGGCAGTGCCATCACATCCCGTGCGCCGGCTCAGGGTAGGCCGGGGCCAAGGCTGGTTGGTGAGGAGTGTTTTCGTCATCTCCCTCCCCGTGCGGAGCCATGACGTTCCCCTCACGCCCTCACCCTCGCCCCTCTCACTCACTTTCCCCGCCCGTCGCCCTCCCACGTTTATCCTCAGGTCGGGCCTGTCCTCCTACGGGCGGATTGCGGAAGAAGTAAGCAGTAGTCAAACGTACAAAAAAATAGCCAGGAGAGCACGACACATCGCCCCCATGCTATTTTGAAGCTGTTCTTGAATTTTTCTCCTCCTGTGGAGTGACACGCCCGACTTGACCCTCCAGCGTTTATCCTTCATTGTCCCTGCCCCTGCCCGAGCCCACCCACCCGCCCGCCCTGCCCCCTCTTCTCTGCAGCAGGAAAGCCCTGGAATCTGCAGGGCAGAGGTCCGATGTCGCAGAATGCCGAAAGGTTGCAACTCGCGAGCCAGACTTTCGCGGCGAGCCAAGGCGGGGAAGTGAGAAGGAGAAGGCCTTCTCAGAAGGCGGCGGGACTTCTCAGAAGCCCTCGCGCCTTCTGAGAAGCTTTCTGTGTCTTCGGGGAAACGGCTCAGAAAACTTCGCAGAAGGCCAGGGGACTTCCAAGCCTTCTGAGAAGGCCCGCCCCTTCTCACTTCCCCCTCTCGCTCGCCGCCGAAGATTATGCACCACCGAATGTCGAGGAAGCGAACGTGGCACAATGGCTGGGTCAGCGATGTCGAGGCGTTTGTGGCATCCCCCGAGGGGCATGAGAAGATCGAGGGGAAGGGACGAGCTGGGATGAAGAGATAAGGAGGAAGAGGAGGGACAAGGAGGAGGCAGAGCGTCGCATGGGGAAGGAAAAGGAGGAAGAGACAGGCAGGATGAACAGAAATATGAGCGGGGGAACGGACTGTGGCGCCGGACCCGCACGATCTACTCTTGCCAATCTGCGTCGCACAACTAGCATCTGGCCTGAAACAACATTCATGGGGGCGATGCCCAACAGCAACCTTTGATGGAAATCGCCAGCGACGGCTGCTGGACAAGCGCCTCACGCAGTCAAACGGACAAGCCCCTCTGTGAAGCCGATTGCGAATCCAGCTCAACATGGACAGCAGCCATCGGTCGGAAGACGTGGGAAGGAACATCAAGGCAGGAAGGCCTCCGATGTTCCATTGGATCTCCGCCCGCCCCCCAGCGAGGAAGGAGAATGGCAAACTGCTCGACGATCAAAGCAGGAAGGCACCCAAAGCAGATCGGAACTCTGATGTGTGCGAGGAGGGTCAAAGCAATTCGTACGTATCGTAACCCGCCGTGCCTGTTGCGCGGCACGAGTCCGCCTTGCGATCGGCTCGGCTGGACGGGACTCGACCTAAAATGGCTGCGATCGCAGCAACAGCGGAACCTGGGCATCCGCAAACGCCTGCTTTCAACGACCGATGGACCACTGCTGTCAGCCGTCGTCCCCGTCTGCCTCGCCCACATCTCGGCGGCGGCGTGCTCCAGGGGGGAGCGGCGAGGCGAGATGCCTCCTCGGAGGGCACTGGGGCATCTCAGAAATCGGCGTTGGACAAACCTCCCTTTAGTAAACCTCCCTTTAGTGAAAACGGCCTGGGACCGAAACCGACGGACCTGGACCCGCAAAAATGACGGCCGCGACGCCCTCTCGCGAACCGAAAACGGCCAATTCCTCAATCGACGTGTCAGGGTAGGAGGTCTGTCCACCTCCGAAGCAACCCTCGCACCTTCTGAGAATCCGCCTGCGTCTTCGGAGAGGACTAAGACAGCTTCTCAGAAGGCCGGAGAAAGCCTTATGCTTCTGAGCCGTCTGAGGCGACGCGCCCCAGCTGCCGTCGACATGGACAGCAACTGCAGGCAATCGTCGTCCCCGTGTGGGGAAAGCGAGAGATACCAATACTGCTACTCCCCGGGCCTCTCCTGGGCTGCGTGCCGACGAGCATTTCAACATGAATCCAGCCGTGGCGGCGAGCGCTCTCCAGGACGAGCAGCGGCATCGCTATCTTCTCTTCCTCTGAATCAGCTGCTGTCAATCGTCGTCTCCGTTTGCCTCGTCCCACCCCGGCCCCCTCGATCCACAAGGACTGGAATTCCAGCCTTGGGGGGCGGAACGTTTATAGGCCCTCGGTAGCGAATCTGCTCGCTCCTCAGCGGGGTGGGCCATCGGCCCCCACTGGCGATGAATGTGCGATTGGGGGTCGATCCATCCCCCTCCCCGAGCCTGTCCCCCTCTAACGTTGCCCCTGACCATTTGCCTCGTCTCCGCCTGCGGCAAATTCGCGTCGCGATGGCGTCGGTGTTGGTCTCTGACACTCCGTGGACCGTTCAACCTTGAAAGATCCAGGCCTTCCGATGGGGCAGTCGTTCGCGATCGGCCGCTTCTGGGCCACTGGCGGCGTTCAATCTTAAACGCCCGCACTGGGGCCACCTAGCCAGCCGCGGAACGCGGCGCGAACCTGCCGTTGGCCCCCTGAAATCTGAATCGGGGAGACGTAAGACTCGGGTACGGAGGGCTCGGGTTGGCCAGACGGGCCATCACAAAGAGGACGAGGCCCCGTCTGACATCTGACGCGAGCTCCCGCTGCAAACCTCCCGCGAAAACTGGACCGTGAAAATCCGGGACGCGCCCGTCAAAAAGCGTCGGCAAACCCGAGTTCCAGCTTACTCGAGTCTTACGTTTACCCGACTGCAGCTGCCAGGATCCCTCCTGATCCTCCTCCTCCTCCTCCTTCTCCTCCTCCTCCTCCTTCCCCTCCTCCTCCTCCTCGTCCTCCTCCTCCTTTCCGCCCTCCTCCTCCTCCTCCTCCTTCCTCCTCCTCCTGCTCCTCCTCCTCCTCCTCCTCCTGCTCCTCCTCCTCGGGTTCCTCCTCCTCCTCCTCCTCCTCCTGCTCCTCCTGCACGGCCCTCACGGGGACCAGCGCCCGGCAAGCAGCGCGGCGGGGTCCACGTGGCGCGCGGCGGCGTCCCGCAGCGCAGAGGCCACCCCCTCTCGGCTGGCTATCTCGCCCAGGACCTCGTGCACCACCAGGTCAACCTGCACTGTGAGCGGGAGGGGGGAGGGAGTGAGGGAGGAGGGAGGCGGGAGGGAGGAGGGAGGAGGACGGGAGGAGGAAAGAGAGCTCGGATCGGCCATCCACGGAAGCAACGTGCACGACCTCGGCAGCCGGGGGGGGCAGCACTAATGAGCACCACAGTCAAAAGGAGGAGGGATGAGTAGGAGGAGTAGAAAATAGGAGACCCTAGGAGGGGAGGGGGAAGGAGGAGGGAGGAGGAGAGAGGAGAATGGAGGAGGAGGATGGGCAGATAAGGAAATAGGGTACGGACGAAGCGAGGGGTAAGTGGATTTATCGGCCACAGCAAAGCAATCGACCACCACGACCTCATGACCTGTAAAGCACGAGTGACGCTGCGCTGCAGCGTGAGACAGCTAATAGCATGACGGCTGCCGAGCTGCAGAAGCGGCGGCCCAATGCGCACTTATTACAACAAGC